ACCTTGAGGCCCATTCTGTTCAGAGAACCTATCACCTGGTCCACCGCCAGAAGTCCCATTTCCAGGGAGTCCTGCCAGCCCCTGCCCCCAGCCAGCACCATCGTGTCGTCTGCGTAGCAGACGACGCTGCAGCCAGGGGGGAGGGCAAGGCGGAGGACTTGGTCGTACGCGATGTTCCATAGTAGGGGTCCTAGTACGAACCCCTGAGGAACACCGCGGTAGACCACCCTTCCGCACTGGAGTTCCGCTTTGTTGCGGAATTCCAGTCTTCTATCCCGGAAGTAATCCCTAATAATTGAGACCAGGTGGGGGGGACCCTGAAATGGGCCAGACCCGCTTCCACCCGGTCCCAAGGGAGGGAGTTGAAAGCGTTGGCGATGTCCAAGGACACCGCCAACACAACTCCCCCCCTCCTCACGACGGCCTCCGAGAGAGACCAGACGCGTAAAATGGCGTCCACGCTTGACCGTCCCTCCCGGAAGCCGTATTGCTCCTCACTGAGCTTTGGACTACCCCGGGATAGGTTCCGGACGAGGCGGACGTGTATTATTCTTTCGAATAACTTGCCCGCCTCGTCCAGCAGGCATATCGGCCTATAAGCGGAAGGGCTGTCCTCCGGCTTGCCCCTTTTTCTGAAGAGGACCAGATTGGCCCTCTTCCAGGGGCTGGAAAACACCCCGGTCCTCAAACAGGAGGTGAAGAGCCGCATTGTGCGACTCTTCACCTCCGCCTCCTTCATCGCCAAGGCCCATACTGGGATGCCGTCAGGGCCCGGCGCCCTTTTCTTGGCGCCAAGCTTCCTGACGGCCCTGTCTATCTCCACCTCGGTGACCCCGACTGTCTCATCCTCCTTGTCCGGGGGGGAGGCCTCGTAAGGGGGAATGCAAGCTTCCCCCCATGGAAAGAGGGCCTCTACCACTTCATCGAGGAAGTCGGGGTCCAGAGACGCCGTTTGAGGGGGCGCCCAGTTGCGCAAACGCCTCATCACGATGTGATAAGGGCGCCCCCACGGGTCCCTGTCGATAGTGGAAACCAGGTCATCCCAGGCACGGGCCTTGGCCGTAAAGATGGCCGCCTTGAGGGCGCCCCGCTTTTCGCGGTACGCCCTCTCGGCGGCCATCCCGCCCGTACTATGCCTTCCCCGCAGATTCCTTTCTCGCCTGGCTTGGCCGGCGGAGCGCCGAAGTTCGGCAATCTCCGCCGACCACCAGTACACGGACCGGCGGGGATGCGGCCGGGATCGGGGCATGGCGGCATCACACGCCGCTGTCATCATGCCCACGAGCCCGGCCGCCTCAGCCTCAATGGCGGCCCGGGTCCCCGGTGTGGGACCCGGGTCCGCCCATGTAGCCGCCGTTAAGGCGGCCGCCAACTTGTCGCGGTCGAGTTTGCAGAGGGCCCATCTTGGTGGTCGGGCGGCCCCCTGGCCGCGTCTCAGGAGCACCTCCTCGGGGGTGGCGACCAGTCGGACCACGATATAACGATGGTCCGAGAGGTTTTCCCCTCTGGTCACCATCCGCCAATCCTGAATTAGTCAGGCCGCTTGGGGAGGCGCTAATGTGACGTCGATCACAGATCTCCCCACGGCCCGACGAAGGTTCTCCTCAGGCCTCTGTTTATGACACAGAGGCCGTGGGACGCGACCCATTCTTCCATAACCTCGCCCCTTCGGCACTTGACCGAGGACCCCCACAACGCCGATTTAGCATTGAGATCCCCGGCCACTAGGACCGGCCTTTGGGGGCGCCTCGACATGAGGTCCCCCAGCCGGTCCAAAAGGTGCTCGAAGTGAGCGAGGTCCCACGATGGTGGGGCGTAAACCCCGACCACATCTAGGCCCCCCACTCGACCGCGACGTATCCTCCCCCCTCTCCACCAGGGAGATTGGGGGGA